CCTATCCAACAAAAAAAAAATAAAATCCCTATCCTGTGTAAAAAAATAAAATAAAATACCTTATCCTGTGTAAAAAAAAAAAAAATACCTATCCTGTAAAAAAAAAAAAAAAATAAAATACCTATCTGTGTAAAAAAAAAAAAAAACCTATCCTGTGTAAAAAAAAAAAAAAAAATTATCCTGTGTAAAAAAAAATAAAATGCCCTATCCTGTTTAAAATAAATCACCTATTCTGTGCAAAAAAAAAAAAAAAATTACCTATGCTGTGTAAAAAAAAAAATTACCTATCTTTTGTAAAAAAAATCACCTATTCTGTGTAAAAAAAAATAAAATCACCTATCCTGTGTAAAAACAAAATAAAATCACCTATCCTGTGTAAAAATAAAAAAATAAAATCACCTATCTTGTGTAAGAAAAAATAAAATCAACTATCCTGTGTAAAAAAAAATAAAATCACCTATCCTGTGTAAAAAAAAATAAAATAAAATCACCTATTCTGTGTAAAAAAAATAATAAATAAAATCACCTATCCTGTGTAAAAACAAAAAAACAAAAATCCCCTATCCTGTGTAAAAAAAGCATAAATTGAGCCATCCTGAAGAAAACACCCCCACCCCCACCCCCCAAAAAACACTCATCCTGCGTTAAAAAGCATAAAACCACTCATCCTCTGTTAATAAGTACAAAATCATCCATCTTGTGCTAACATCCGTTATCAATGATAATTTATACAAAATGGTTTCCTTTATTTTAGGATGTATCAATTGTAATAAGAAGCACAGTTGTGTAATGGATAGAGCTGAGTTCAAATTCGAGTCGAATCTATTGCGTTCATTTACGTGTTAATACACTTGGGAAAGGTATGAATCCTCTTCTTCTCCCCCAGGTATGGGTAAATAGCAGGACAGATCAGGTTCTGTAGCCTTGGATGGCTACTGGTCTACCGTAGAAATAAATGTCAACTTATTACTGCTTCATCAGTCATGTATAGAAAGATACTTGATCGCATGGCACATAATTGACTGACATAAGTAATTTCCGTTTCGTCTATCAACATTTCTATTCAAAATAGATTTAACGATATTGCTTTTAAATAAAAACACATAATATTACCAGCTATACATTACCCTCAGGAAAATTATATTTCTGCATTAAATGAACCATAAGGAGTTTATATGCCGCAACCCCCCACAAAAAAAAACACCCAAAAAACAAAAAAAAAACAACAAAAAACATTTTCATCCTTATCAGTGCACTAGCCTTTTGCATTGGACATTCGCGTATGTTAGTGTACTATAAATTAATTCTTACTTGCTATAAGTCATTAATAGTTGAGTGGTACATTCTTTATTAGTATCGTCTCCACAAATCGGAAATTCTTTACGACTGAATCTATGGTATTAGAAACACTTTCTTGTATATAGATTTCATACTTATTCGTAATAAAAAAGATTTAATTCTCTTTGTCAAACACAACATGTAGCAAGAATAAATAAATAGAACGATATCAACACCTTGAAGGTGAGATGAACTCATGGCGAAATATATACGTAATCAAGTTTTATTGTGTGTTTGTTTGTGTGTGTGTGTGATTTTGTGTGTGTGGGAGTGTGCATAGAGGAGTATAATTGAATTTTCGGGATTTGGAAATAAAGAGACTCCAAAATATTAGGCCACACAGCTTATTGCTGGAAATGTGAAGTGGTTCTGAAATAGGATCATTAATTAATAGATGCATTTATGTGTTTATTGGTAACGTTATTAGGAATTCGTCTTTCTGGAATACTGTTATTTATTTGAGTAAGAAATTATAGAACAGTTTAAAAATGTCAGATCTTACAATAAAAAATGTAGAAACATTAAGGTAAAAAAGCAACATTTGTTATAATGACATTATTTCAGACAAGAAGCATGAACAATTTAAATAAATTGACATTGTTACATTTGCTAAGAGGTATAATGACATTAAAGTTTGTGATGTCTGAGTGACATAACGGTTATTTTGATTGAAGGTAGAATCGGCAGACCAATTTCAAAATCAAGCTGCATCCGTCATGATCATTTCTCATTAACAAATTCGAAGAAAAATCATAGTTCCATCTGATTAATTTGTATTAATTTTCATGGCAGGCTAGTCACCAAAATATTTTGTGACAGTCAATCTAAGAGAAAAACAATTCTGTATGCAGAACGTTCTAGAATTGAAATGCAAACCAATCACTCATATTTCGCAACAGGTCATAGCAGTTCTCAGGCAAAAAACAAAACAAAATGAGTTTGATACCCATGACCAACTATGTCCTGAACGGACATGATATTAGAATAGAAATTAATATGCGTAAACTGTATATCATGGCGTTAAAATTAAATAAAGTAAAATGTAACAAATATGCCTAAATTCGAATGACGTCTAGTTATTAAATTTTCTTGGTGAATTGTTGAAATGCCTAACACAGTCTATATAAGGACAGAAGATACGAGTTTATATTCTGTATTCACGTAGTTAACAGTCGGAAAAAGGTTAAAATGATTTGCGAAAAAAAGTAGAACAAATGGTAAATAACTGGTCTAATATTTTTAGAGTGCACAGAAACGTCACAAGAAGGTACTAATTTGGCTCTGAAAACTCAAAGCCACATCTGCCAGTGCCCATTTTAACGCATCAGTAGTGACGCAAAACCAAAAAGACATAAAGTCGTTGTAGAAGTAGGAATAAAAAACGCAAAAAAAAAAATAGCAAATTTTCCAGGGATTCCTGTGATGTTGAATCTCTATAGTAGATGAAAGAGATCATAGAGTTGGATGACCGGTTAAGGGAGGTCAAAGCTGAACTGTCTTTTACAATGAACAACAAATTATCATTTCTAATATAAAAAAAAAAAAAATCATAGTTTCGGTCAATGTTCTCTTACATTAGTCCTTTTTCTTTTTGTATGTGATTTACATAAATTAACGCATGCTATGGTTCTGAATCTGTGGAGCTGACGTAATTTAATGCAAATGATCTAAAAATGGCAGTCAAGAGAGAATAAGAGAAACTAAGGTTGCCGCTAAGTGTAGCAATGAAAGCAAAAACAACACAGGCAGAAGGTGCAAACAGAGAGAAACAGACGAAAAATAAAAGGAAAAGTGAGAGAGAGCGTGAAAGGTGTAGGGGCAGTGAATATATTAAAAATAAAATATCGAAAGGAAATAGGAAACCAAAGAAAACAGCAATAAAAACAAAGTACAAACACTAAAGACAGAGTGAGGGGGGAATTGCAGAAAGGAATAACTAAAGATTTCAGAGCAAAACTAAACAAGAAATAAATTTATATTCATAACGTCATGTGGGCACCTCGATGTGTTGTAATGGTTAGCTAATCTCGCTCGTTAGTGATTTTCTAAGAGTAGCTAACATGTAGCACAAGGCCGAAAGTATGGGGCATCCAGTGAAGTTCGAACTCACTATTCTTTACAAAAATGTTCTAGCCAGACAAGCTCGCTAACCATTACACCGTTTCTAGGTCCCCAAAAACTTTCTCGCTAGAACCAGTACAAATGAGTAGTGAGTTCGAATCTTATTGGGTACCCAATATTTTTGAACTTGTGCCGTGTTATGACGTCATAATTTTGTGGATCTTCAAATATATAAATGTTTACTAATAGAGAGATGAATACATGATGGAATTAATGCGGATTTTGAAATAAAGACTGAACAAGCGACCAAGGCAGTCTCAAATAATGCATTTTCTTACAGTAAGCACGGATTAGCTACCATACTTACAAACACAACAAAGTGATGACCATATTAATACTAATAGAAAGTCGCTGATTCCAACTCCAACGTTTACTTGACTAAATCTTGGCTTCCCCTTTCTAGCAAACTCGAAACATGCCTATCTTACATCAGTCAGTTATGTGCCATGTGATACATGCTTAGGCGATCATG